CACTAGAAGGAGCTTTGGATGTATTTGTTTGCGAATGTACATAAACAAATAAGATGTTCAGGAGACACAAATTTCTTTTGGTGGAATTTACATTCCCGCGTTTTATTCGGCTACGCCCCGCATTTCGATGATTGTTGATGACATCTGTCAAAGGAAAAGTGTGTAGGTGATATTAACGTATTTGTGTTTATTTGTGTTTAGTGTGTAATTTTCGTCTTATTGTTGTGTAGTTTTTATGTATAGACATTTATTTAGTGCCAAGACATGGTTAGAAAGTGTGTTATTTGTAAAGCTTTATTTAAAAAGGGCGAGCAGCGGTCTTTCCACAGGTAAGTAAACAAGCAACATGGGCGGCGTTTGAGGAATTACATAAGGGTGTTTTACTATTACTTCTTAATTAGCAGTGATAATACTGACTAAATCATTATCTAAATTATTAAGATATGTTTTTTAATTGTTCATCTTATTTTTTCCTATTTCAGTAATAATATAAGTATATTATGAGTAATACCTGTATTTTTTAGATTTCCTAAGAATCTGGAACGATTGCGTCTTTGTAATAAATTCTGCATAAAGTTCTTTTTTAATGGTATTTCGTACTCAATTGATCCCTCAGAGTTGTGTTCAATATGTAACCAATATAAATTAGAAACCATTGAGCACATTTTCACTGGATGTCCTATATATAATACTTTGAAGCCGCCAGTTTTAAAAAATATCACATCTGTCGAAGCGTTGGTACAGTTTCTCGATAATCTAACACTCAGCAACGCTAAGGCATTGTGTGGATTTGTAACTGGTCTTCTAAAGCTTCGCTCATTTGTGTTGAGTGAATAATCTTGCCCTATTGTATTTGTTTCTATTTTCTTTTTTCACTATTTTGTACTGTTGTTGCCTAGTTGTTGATTATTTATTGTACTGCATAATGTGAAACAATGTTATTAAATTCTAACCCCTCTTTTTTTTTATCTAGAGAGTACTCTTCCTGTAAAAAATGTATTTTTTTTTGAAGGAATAAAGATTATTATCATTAAATCGGTGACTTTTATTTATCTATATATAGTTGAGTCGAATATTTGTCATTTTCATTATATTCAAGAGATAGAAAAAATTCAAAAGTTTGTAAGATTCCTCTATTACAAAAAATGTAACATTTATTACTTCGATATACCACCATATTAAACAAGTTTTCGGCTCTTACAATTTTGAAATTGTCTGAAAGACGTATGCATTTTGATGGCATATTTATTTTTAAGGTCTAGTCTAGTCTAGATGATACCAACTTACTTAATTTACTCAACTTTTCTGTGCCACGTTATTATCGATGTGTCAACATAACATTTTCAGTCCCACAGTGTAAAACAAATTTTGAAATAAAAACCCCTTTATAGAATGTACAATGTTAAATCAACATAGTAAGATTGATATTTTTTTTGTATTTGAGACGTCTAATTTCAAACATAGTTAGGTATGCGTTTCAATTAAGGATTTTAGTATCTTTTCTTAGGCAATGTTTTATTATTAATTAAGAATATATTGTTAGGTTAAGATAAAGATTTTAAATACTGCTTTGTAGTGGTTGACAATGTTATACAATACCACTTGTTTTCCTAGTGATAAATGTTTTTTAATACTGCTTTATCACAATGTGTTTGTAGCTCACTTTAGGTATTTAGGTGTGTGTAATGTACTTTTATTGTAACCTGTAATTGGGCCTTGTACATGTTAGTTGGGTGCAGTTGGGTGAATAAATAAATTAATAAATAATTTTTTATCCGTGTCAAAATATATCCCCTACGCCACTGCCGTTGTGTCTCTTTGGGACTACGTAAATATTCTCTGTCTCTATCCAATTAGTAGTTCTTTATCTAGATGCTGGCTACAACTGAATGTAAGGTATTATTTTCACAAAGCTCCTTCTAGGGGTTAGAATTCGTTGGTTGGGATAGTGTGATCTTTGTTGGGTTTTGGGATAAGGATTATGTTTGCTGTTTTCCAGCGGGTAGGGAAGTGTCTTAGTCTGAGTGTCGCGTTTGTTATGTTTAGTAGGGCCATGAGGCCCTTGTATGGTAGTCGTTTAAGTGTCGTGTTATGTATATTGTCGGGTCCGGGTTTACGGACCGTGAGTTGCACAGCAATGGTAGTTGTCTTTTTGAATTCTTTTGTTGACTACATCAGTTAAAAAACCGTGGACTATAGTGTTCACGAGAAGAAATGAATAACTTGCATGTTATTAATAGACGATAAACCAATAGATTTTAATGTGTTAGGTGAAATTGTTAACGATCTAGCACAACCTTTACAAATAATTGATAATAATGAAACAAGGGTCATACCCAAATATTAAGACTTTTATCATCATTTTCATTATTTAAAAACATATTGCTTGAAGAAAAGTGTATCTACAAATACATGTAAAGAAAAAGTAAGAAGGGACATAAGTTTGTACCTTGACTGCATTATTATGTATTCTTATTAGCGGTGCATTTCTTTCTTCCCATTTTTTAATAGTGAATGGACACCTTCTTTTTGAACTTCATAAAAATTATTTTTGTATTCATATTTTATTACAAAATTGTCACTTCCCGCCATTTTTGCACAACTGTTACGTCTAGCGAGCGCCTCGTCTATATGCTACAAAAAAATTGCGACCGCTCCACAACCACATACTTCTATACATATACCGAGCACTGCATATCTTTTACATTGAATGACCTTGTTCCCAAAAAGAGGGGATAAAAAGTGTATATGTTGCACTTTGTCAATTTTGCGCAAGCCCGAAAATTTTGCGGATTATTTCAAATGAAATTTAATAACTGTTGTGCAATTAACAGAGCAAAATTACCAATTATTATTTTGTATATCTAATTATACANTGTCAAATTCAAACGCGAACTCGGGAAATCACGTGGAAAATTATGGACATTTCCCTTTTAAGTGTCATCTATGTAATAAAGTTGGCCATAAACGTGCAGACTGTCAAATGAATAAAGGTATGCGAGGAAGTTATAGTGGTCAAAGAGGCGGTTTTATGAAAAGAGGAAATGGAAATGCTTATAGTGCTCAAGAAAGTATAGAAGAAGGAGATACAGATGGACATATCTCATTTTTAACCAGTGAATACTCAATGTTAACTGCAAATGAGAACAATATAAGTTTTGTTATAGACAGCGGCGCAACAAATCATTTGGTTAGGAGTGACTTATTCAAGTATTTGAAGGACATTAAGAATATCGATCATAAACTAAATGTGGCAAAACAAGGGCAGACAATGGTGGCGAAATATCAAGGAAGTTTAGAACTCGAATCGGAAACTGGAAGGCAAATTACATTATTAATGTATGGGTATGTGAAAATTTACTTTATAATTTACTCTCGGTTAGAAAATTAGAGGAAAATGGTCTGGAACTGATATTTGGTAAAGGACAAGTAAAGATTATGAAAAATAAGACCAGATACCAGATTCAATTTGATTTTCTAATATATGCTAAATATCAAGTCTTATTTTATTAAATATACAATGCAAACCTAGTCAAGATCTTAGTACACATTGAAGCAGTGCCGGTTTTAGATATAAATTGTCCCTAGGTATTATTTTTCAAATAAAATAGCTGATCCAGTTTGTGATCCAAACACAAGTAGGTACATACATTAAGTGTCATTTCTTTATTTGAACATGATCACGTAAAAACCATGTTTGATCTTTCGGCGTATGTAGAAGATGTGGTATCATATATAGCGGGCTTTGTAACTTCACAGGTTATAAAAATAATTTCTTGTGACATTTACAAAAAATATATAAAGGGAAACTACTCGTCTCCTTTTAATATATAACAGTAAGAGTTCACCATGAAACACGAAGTCTTATGTCTCATGCATTAACAAAATGTGGAATTTTTAGCTACTGATTGGACACGCAAAAATTTGCTTTAGCCAATTTCATCAATTACCTTTAATTAATAAAAATCCTCAATCAATAAAACCTTAAGTATCCATAGGGTGTAAAGATATACATTTTTACTTATAAACAAATAGTCTTCTTTTATATTTTTTGCTAGTAGATTTATCGCTTCATGCCAGTTTGTTCCTCTCATAGACCTTATAAACTACTGGTACTGGACTTGCCCAACTGTCATTTTACCTATATAACCGGCAATCGCTCAGACGTGTGCGAGAGCGATGGAGCTAGTAAGGGCTTAAGCTTCGTTCACATAATTTCGACTGCAACGCGCTACATTTAATTCAACCAATCAACTAGCTATACTCGATTTCTTACCCTTTTTTTTCTGTTGGGCCGTATTCAGACTTTATAAAAATAATATAGAGACTAAAAGACAAAAAATTTTAATTTTTTCCAGTAGTGTAGGTATGTAAAAGGTTTATTATATTACTGTCCTAATTACAGAACAATATTTCAATTGTTTTAGCTATAATATTCCAAATAGTTTTTATATTGCCTTCTTTATGTATTTCTCCATTTATTTTCCTCATATCGTAAACTCGATTTGTTAACATTACTGCAAGCTCTTCTGACGTAGTTGTTTCAAATATTTCATATTTTCTTGCTTTGCGGAACTGCATAAATTGAAACTATGTCGATGCTTTCTTCGTTCAACATATTATTTGGAGAGAATTTTTGCTGGAGCACATTCTAAGCACATTTCAGTTAAAACTTTTTCTTTATATTTGGTGTGATGTTAAAATGACATTTTATTTTGAGGATGGGGGAAATAATTTAATCTAATATGTTGTCATCAGAGATAATTCTACTTGGTCAGTCTTTTCAGAAAGTTGCAAAAAGTATAAACATGTTGGTACCGTCATAACTTCATATTAGCAAGTAATATCAGTTCAGAGTAACTCTAAGTTGCTATTAGCTACTAATAGTTACTATTTTTGCCAAATCGAAAGGCCCTGTAGACTCCTTTCCACTGTGTATCTAGTTCACTGTCATTGGTCGTTGGTCATAAACGTCAAGAAATCATTTTAGCAAGGTTATATTCCATTATATTTTTGACTTTATACAAAATATTGATTATTTTTAGTTTAATGTTATTCCTAAAATGTCTGCAATATTTAAGAATTCTAAGAAAAAGGTCTCACAGATGGAACTTCGTAAATTTATGAATGAACACAAAACTAAACAAAAAGCCATAAAGAAGATTATATCACCACTAGCTAAATATCCTTTTTAAATAATCGAAAAATAATATCAACGTACCAAATTTTCGATAGAGCAGTAAGTAATAAGGTAAACAAAAAATATTTCATACATCTCTTGTATTTGAAATTTGTAATTACATTACATTTTTCATATTTTCACATTTACTATAATATTGCATACTTTGAATAAATACATTCTTATTGTGTCTGGAAATAGGCGAGGTAGGGTTTAATAAACAGTTTTTTTTAGGGGTATTTAAAGCGGTTTTCCACTAAACCAAAATACAAAACACAAAGTTATGTCGAATAAAACAAAACTGTAACATTTTGCAAACTTTTTGAAGACTGGCATGTTCTGCGACAGTTGAAGTTTTGGTTTTCGGGGCCCGCTCGAAAGCAGTCACATCAAAAGGTTTCTACGTGTTTTGAAACTCGAGTCTGTTTAATGGAAATGGTCGTGTTGTGTTTTCTATTTAAGTGATATAACCCAATATCTATGTTGCGGCGTTTTCTTCTTCTCAAAAACAATATTTTATTTCATTAATGAATTATAGCTATTAAAAAATATATATGTGTACGGTTAAGGTGTTTACTTGGCTAGTATACAAAGTAACTAACCAAGTAAACACTTTAACCGTACATGTACACTTACTTTTTTTCCAAGGACTACAGTATAAACCAGCCATAACTAAATAAAAAAATCTTCTCTAAACATGTTGGTTGGTTATTGGAAAAATGTGTTCTGATTTCCTCGTGACAACTAGTGGAAAAGGAGCGAAAACAAAAACAAAACCAGAACAAACTGTAGCCTGCTTGATGGAAACAAGAGTTTTGGGTTTGTTTCAGTTTCGTTTTTGTTTTTCAGGTTCTAGAAAATACAAACGACATAAACTCAACTGTCCGTTTAGTGGGAAACCGCCATTAGCTGCACTGCAAAATACCCCCAGAAAATAAAACACATCCTGAAATCTAACAAGTATTATAATAAAATAGTAATATATAGCTTTCTATCTAATTTAAAAAATTGATTCCTTAACACACTGTACATATAACGATCAAGATCAGTTAACTTGCGTCTTATGTAAATCAATAGTAAGGTCAGAAGCTGTATGGACAGTTCACGTGAATGCAAAAGTACATAAACAAAATGTAGAAATAGCTAAGGAATTAAAAGAAAAAACAAATAATTTTACAACTTTAAAGAGACGTTTGACTCCTCCTTTAATTGATGCTTCAGAAAAAAAGATTAAAAGCATTCTAAAAAATTCAAATAATGTTGATCAAGATGAAAATAAAACAAATTATATTAAGAATGATCATTTACCAGATAATTTTTTTGATGCTAATGAGATTAAAAAAAATAATACACCTGATAATAAAAGACCCTTTCATAAAAAACATGAAATGATGGAAACTGAAGATATATCAGAGAACAAAGATGTTTTACCTGAAGGTTTTTTTGATGACCCTAAATTAGATGCTAAAGTAGGTATACATGTTTTATAGAATATTAAGAAAAATGTATGCAGAAATAAATTTTAAGGCTAGAAATCAAGAGTATAAAAATCCTATAGAAGAAGAGTGGGAAAAATTTGTAAAAGCTATAAAAGAAGCAGATAGTGAAAGCAGTGCTATTATTGCTGAGGATCAAGAAGAAGCCACAATTGAGAGACAGATTGTTGAAATTGATGAACAGATGAAAAAACTATCTAGGTAAGTATAAACTACAGGAAAACATTAGATTTTCATATGATGTAATATGCGATTATCTCTGTATTATTATAAATTATAATAACAGAGCCTTTAATTTTTTTTGGAGTCGTGCTGGAAATTAAAGGATATTATGAAAGACAAGACAAGAATAATATTGTACTATTTAGATTTTGAATTTTGTCATCTACCTATATTATGTAAATATAATATCTTATCCTAATCAGTATTTTGGAGATCTACTAAAAAATCATTCATATTTATATATTTAAAATTTCTATATGTTCTTACAAATGGTTGCGGTTGTGAAAAGTGGATATTTAACTTACAGAAAATGAATTTGTAGACCGAAATTTTATCTACATTCATAACACCAGATTTATCACAACCAAAGGTTTATTAAAAAAAGTGACATCGATAAGTGTGCTTTGTAATTCGTGTAGGTTCAGTGATGAGCTGAGTAAAACCATAAGAGGACATACAATATGAAAATGAATTTTCATGAAATTGATCTATATTGGTCACCTAAAAAATTATATTTCATATTGGGGAACAATAAATGATAAAAATGATAACAAATTGTCCATTTGATCATCAACACATTGTATCTCACTTAATTTAGGAGCTTTGTAGAAAACACAAAGTAATAACTATAATTTACCTAATTTTACTGTTATAAACAAAAGATCAAAACCGTCCAGAACTTTAAAATCTTGAAGTACAACTTTCGCATAAAAATATTCTTTTACATAAATGCTTACCCCTCCAACCCTATGATGTAGATTTCTTAAAAATATGTTATAGTTTTGAATATTTAATACATGCGCCAGTGTACTATCATCATCCATCCATGTTTCGGATACACAAAATATGTCAAAATTATCATTTACTACCATATCAGAAAGTTATCAAGATTTGTGAATGTCCATTTAAGTGGCCTATTTTTAACATTTATTGTACATTTAAGTGGCCTATTTTTAACATTTATTTGCTGAAATTTATTCATAGTCAATTTTACATTTAATTTGCTCTAATTTAGATCTATAAACATCACATACAAAGTCAAATATAGCATGATCTGTTGGTAAATTTAGGTGCAATTTGCTATTCGCATTTTTACAGTATTATAGCATTTGTTGCCACTAATTGAACATCTAACCGACAAACAAATAACTTTTGTGCAAGATAACCTTATAAATAGTAGGTAACACTTCTATTACAATATTTAACGATGATCTGTACTTAAGTTTAGCAACAACAATTATGTCTTCATTTGGCACACCTAAGTTGTTATTAATTATATTGGCTGCCAGGTTTCTATCTTCACCAAAATGTTCAACATTGTAGATTATAATCCGTTAATTCATCTTTTTAACCTCAACAACTTGGTAGGTCGCACTAATTTTTTTGATTCAAGGTGTCTTGAAGTTTTTGGAAGGATTTTTTATGTACTTTGTACTAATTCTGTATAGGGATCTAGTATCAGATTTATTTCCACTGAAAATTGGTAGTGCATTTTAATAATTGAGTGTCAAGGGTATTCCTCTGTATAGCGTTGTATTTGGTTCCGAGGAATTCATTGTTGATAAATCTGGATGTGTACCTTTGTCTACTTGCTGCCATGAATTGAATTTAATAAAGATTAATTGCAGAATTGAATTTAGTCTTTAATAATTCTTATCTAATGGAAACTAAATAAACCTGACTAGATTTAAATGAAACAATTAGTTTTTGTACAATGGATAATGGTTGAATTGTGTGGTTGCCTGTTTCAAGGTCTATAGACTTAAATGACAAAATATCAATGTATGCCAATCAAGCAATGTGAGTACAGAGATAACAAAGGATAGGTAAGGCGGACTAATAAATACTCACTTGTTCTGGGAGGTTCTTGAAGGTGCCTTGAATTGCAACACATCTTTATCCTCAGATCATTGACTGTGCTATGGATTTGGAATGTTGAGACTTACACAGAGAAGCGCTCAATGTTTAGTTAATCATTTATTATATGAATACAGTGCGTCCGTGGTTTATATATAATGTTAATTTTAACAACACAGGCATTTATACCTAATAATATAATTATTACATAAAATGATATGATGTTCTCAATAAAATAAATATAGTTTTAATGGGATACGTAACTAATATAATGTTAGAAACACACTAATTATCAGCGAATATTATAATATATTTAATTAAATACAAGTTTTTAATTTGTATTATAAAAAGTTCATAAAGCACTTAAAACAGCTAGTCAATAAGGGTGTCTGCCGTCAAATGCTGAATGCCGAGTGCTGAATGGTGAATGTATGGTTCCTTGTATCTCATCTGCCCTAGTCGAGGAATTTGTTTATTTTACTTAGCCCTTGCCTCTCGGGTTAAGTGTTCACATTATCGGTCTTTTTTTTTATAATATAAAACGAAAACTCTGAACCATTTATCACCAATCCTATTGCCAGTTCACACCTAACCTATGCAAGAAAAATAAAACAGGAACATAAAATTATGTGTATGAATACACGAATAAAACAATACATAAAAAAACAGAACTATTGTAATTCATGTAGAAAACTCTGATTCCAATTCTGTAATAATAATATTAGATTCCTCTGTTTGAGGAAAGATGGCGCTATCAGTGCCAAAGCTCATATTTATTTTATGTTGGTAGTCAAGAAGAAGAAGCGAGGTGCTGTTTTGGTAATCCTCTCTTCTTGAGTATCTGTGGTTGTATGTACAGAAATAGTTGCATCTAGTAAAGTTACTTTAATTAAAATCGAGTCTAATTGTTAAGTAATACATGCCAACTAAAAGACCATCAACAGGTTATGGGCCCAGTAGGAGTATCTGCATCTGGCCGAAATTAGAAGTGAGGAATTCGTAGAAATAATCACTATAGGAAGTAAGAACACGGGCAGAAGAAAAAGGAAAATGGCGGAAAAACAGCAAAATTTGTTTTATGTAAAACCATTTGACGGAAATTTCTATTCAAATTGGGAATACCGAGTGAAGCTTTTACTAGAACAACAGGAAGTTTTATATGTTTTAACGGAAGAGCAGCGTGAACAAACAAATACAAGTGAAGTAGCCAAATGGAAAAAAGCTGATGTAAAAGCTCGAACCATTATTATTCAGTGTTTATCTGATAATATTTTAGAATCAGTAAAAACTAAATTATCAGCAGCAGAGATTATGAAAAGTTTGGAACATACATATGCCAAGAAGGGAATCTCAACTCAAGTAATGTTGCAGAAAAAGTTAAGAGGGCTAAAATACATAGAAGGAACTCCATTAAGAACATTTTTAACAGAATTCGATAATACAGTTTCTGAGTTAAAAACAGCAGGAGGAAAAATGGACCAGGAAGAATTAATTCTGCAGTTGCTCTCTACAATGCCAGAATCTTTTCAAAGTGTTACTACTGCTATCGATGTTATGTTCTGTCAAAATCAAACGGCAATTGATATAGAGTTTGTTAAAAACAAATTACTCATGGAAGAAGCCAGGCAGGAAAAAGTAAAAGAAGGAGGTTGTCCAAATATGACATTCGTATCGAGGCACGGAAGAGGAAATTGGAAAAACTATGGAAATTTTAGGGGAAACCAGAGGGGTAACCTAAATAGAGGCGGTAGTATGTCAAATTCAAATGCGAACTCGGGAAATCACGTGGAAAATTATGGACATTTCCCTTTTAAGTGTCATTTATGTAATAAAGTTGGCCATAAACGTGCAGACTGTCAAATGAATAAAGGTATGCGAGGAAGTTATAGTGGTCAAAGAGGCGGTTTTATGAAAAGAGGAAATGGAAATGCTTATAGTGCTCAAGAAAGTACAGAAGAAGGAGATACAGATGGACATATCTCATTTTTAACCAGTGAATACTCAATGTTAACTGCAAATGAGAACAATATAAGTTTTGTTATAGACAGCGGCGCAACAAATCATTTGGTTAGGAGTGACTTATTCAAGTATTTGAAGGACATTAAGAATATCGATCATAAAATAAATGTGGCAAAACAAGGGCAGACAATGGTGGCGAAATATCAAGGAAGTTTAGAACTTGAATCGGAAACTGGTAGGCAAATTACGATTAATAATGTATGGGTATGTGAAAATTTACTTTATAATTTACTCTCGGTTAGAAAATTAGAGGAAAATGGTCTGGAACTGATATTTGGTAAAGGACGAGTAAAGATTATGAAAAATAAGGTTTGTGTACTAGAAGGAAAGTTTAAAGGAAAATTATATTTTGTGAATTTGAAGAAAAAGCTAAGAGTGTGCAAATATGGCGAATGAAGATGAAATGATGCAAAAACATAGAAAGATGGGACACTCATCAAAATTTCCAACTCCAGGTCTGTGTGAAATATGTGTCAAGGCAAAACAAACAAAAATGCCATATGAAAATGTACCCCTAGAGAGAAAAGCAAAAAGAGTGCTAGAAATTGTTTCAACCGACTTATGTGGACCAATTAAACCAGCTACATGGGATGGTAAGTCATATTTTCTGACGTTTACTGATCATTTTTCCCATTTCTGTGTGACATACTTATTAAGCAATAAAAACGAAGTACTAAAACATTTTAAGAATTATGTTGCTATGGTTGAAGCAAAATTTAATTTGAAGATTGAAAAATTGAGATGTGACAATGGAGGCGAATATGTTTCAAAAGATTTTAGACTATTTTGTGGGCAAAAGGGAATAAGACTTCAATATACAGTAGCGTATAATCCAGAACAGAATGGAATCGCTGAAAGATTTAACCGTACAATTATGGAGAAAGCAAGATGTTTAATACTGGATTCAGGGTTAGAAAAAGAATTATGGGGAGAAGCCGTACGAACAAGCGTCTACTTGATTAACAGAACAGAAACAAGAGTTTTAGAAAATCATAAAACCCCAGCAGAAGTCTGGAACAATGAGAAACCTAATTTAGAAAAAATTAAATTATTTGGATGTAATGCATATAATTTAGTGCCAAAAGAAATGAGAAAATCAAAATTAGACCCTAGATCAGAAAAATTGAAAATGATCGGATATGCAGATAATGGGTATAGATTATGGAATGAAAAAGAAAGAAAAATTGTGCATGGAAGAAATATTGTTTTTGAGGAAAAATGTTACCAAAAATCTTACCTATTGAAAATGAAAGTGACGAAACTGAACAAGAAAACAAGGAGCAACCTTTAGAAAATAATCATGGAAAAGACAAAGAAATGGAAGGGGAGGAAAATATGTTGGAAATTCAATCTAGGAAAAGCTTGAGGAAAACATGTGCCCCAAGATATTTACAGGATTATGACCTTGATGATGATGAAATGAATTTCTTCGCAGCACTTTCTACTGGAGATTTATTTGCAGAAGTATCCCAGTCATATTCGGGAGCTGTCGAACAAGATTATGGGTGGAAAAGTGCGATAAGTGAAGAGCTAAGTGCTCTGGAAGAAAACTTGACTCTAAGTGGGTGTTTAGTGAAAAATTAGTGGAAGGAAAATCCAAGAAAAAGGCTCGTTTAGTAGCAAGAGGTTTTAAGCAGAGTGTGTTAAGTGAAGAAGTGTATGCTCCAGTAGCAAGAATGACAAGTATTAGAGTGCTTTTATCATTATATGTAGAACTGGATTTACAGGTCTGTCAATTAGATGTTAAGTCAGCTTTCCTTAATGGAACGTTAAAAGACCCTGTATTCATGTATCCTCCAGAAGGGCTCGATATTAAAAATCAAAATTTAGTATGTAAATTACAAAAGGCTCTATATGGACTTCGTCAATCCCCAAAATGTTGGAATTCTTTGTTGAATCAAAGTTTAATAGAATTGGGTTTTCAGCGTTCTAAAAAGGATCCCTGTTTGTATTTTACTGAAATAACATATCTGTTGATACATGTTGATGATATAATATTATTTTCTCGATCACTTGAAGATTCAAATTTTATTAAGGACAGTCTTTCTAAGAAATTTAAAATGACCTGTTTTCAAAATAATAATTTGAATTTTTTTGGATTGGAAATTAAAAAAATTGAAAATATTGTTTATACAGTGCGTCCCAGAAGTAACGCAAAAAATTCATATTTCATTTTGTGTTGAGTTTTCACAAAAACGCTAAAACACGTCAATTAGTAAATTAGAATTGTCGTTTTGTCACGTTGCTTAAATCTTTTTTGAGCTATGTTTCATAAACCTATGACATCATCAACATTTTTTTTAAATAGCACCACCTAATTTTTTAAGCATAAATGGATAGTCCTTTTGAAGGGAAATATGTCGATATAGGGTTTGGCCTACTTTACTTTGACAGGAGCAGAAAAAAAAGCCAATGACTGGAATGGACATGGTTTAAAATAACAACAAAAATAGGTATCATAAACTGATGCGAGAACAGTGCCACAGTATAAAATGGAAATTTGGGGATGTTTTGTGTTTTGGTTGATTGTAGGTACATTTTTATGTACTGATATGTTGGCGTTTGCGGCGATACGACGAATGGCAATGTGTGGATTTTCAGTGACAGCTAAACATAACATTTTGCCTATCATTTTCTGTCACTGTCGTTGGCCTTCTAGATCTAGACACATTTCTAACATGGCCAGCGTCTTCAAATTTGGGTACTAATCTGCATACTGTACACGGAGGTATTGGTTGTTCTGGATACTTGGCATTGAATAATTGACATATTTCATCATAACTACGGATCCTATATCTCCGTATTCAACCATAATTAGGATTTCAGTTCTTTGTTTCTCATTTAAACACAACACCATCGTAATGTAAAGTTATGGTATTTGTAACTGTGACAATGATATGAGGCACTATTGCATTCGCTAACTGTCGTCTTCAGAACAATGCCTACATAGCCACTGTGATCGGGTGTACCTACCCAATCTACATAAAAACATGTGCCAACAATCAACCAAAACAGATTTTTTGCTATAGCACTGTTCGCGCATAAGTTTGTGATACCTATTTTTGTTATTAATTCAAACCATGTTCATTCCAATCGTTGGCTTTTTTTCGCTCCTGTCAAACTAAAGTAGGCCAAACCCTATATCGACGCATTTCCCTTCAAAAGGGCTATCCATTTATGCTTAAAAAATTAGGTGGTGCTATTTAAAAAAAATGTCGATGACGTCATAGGTTTATGAAACATAGCGCAAAAAAGGTTTAAGCAACGTGAGAAAACGACAATTCTAATTTACTAATTGACGTGTTTTAGCGTTTTTGTGAAAACTCAACACAAAATAAAATATGAATTTTTTGAGCTACTTCTGGGACGCACTGTATAAAGCAAACAGACTTAATTAACAAAATTTTACATAAATTTGATATGCTTGATTCAAAACCACATGACTTACCAATGCAACCAAAATTGCAGATTGATTGTGATGAGAATGTAACTGATAGCGATATAAATTTACCCTACAGGGAATTAATTGGTTCTTTGATGTATGTCATGCTAGGAACTAGACCTGATTTAAGTTTCTCAATAAGTTACTTTAGTCAATTTCAGAATCGGTACACAGTGAAACACTGGAACTATCTTAAACAAACATTAAGGTATTTAAACAAAACTAAAAATTTTGGTCTAAGATTCACAAAATGTGTCGGTTCCAAAATTGATATGCATGCGTATGTAGACTCAGATTTTGCAAATGACATCTCGGATAGAAAAAGTATTACAGGATTTTTAGTTAAAATTAATAACAATATAATAGAATGGAAAACACGAAAGCAAAATGTCGTTGCTTTATCAAGTGCCGAATCTGAATATATAGCTCTGTCATCATGTACCAGTGAATGTTTATTTTTAGGTCAAATGTTGTCAGAATGCTGTCAGAAATGTTACAATTAAATGCTTTTCCAATTAGAATATTCACATATATATCACATGCAAGCAATGTTATTTTAGCGTTTTTCTTGAAAACGGTTAGATTTATCGAAACAAATAAAGTGTATCTTTTTTATGTCAAAAGGTTAGGAGAACAAAAATATTCAGTCAAAAGTCGCATAAAGTGTAGCACAAAAAAGTTGGAACCATTCAAATCAAAATAAAGGCTCGTATGTGGCGCCCTTTACAAAATGCGAAAAAACGGTGGGCAAATTTATAATCCTCATCCCGAAAAACCCCCATATACGAAATTTTGTTAAAATATTATGAGTGTGGCAAAAGGTATTGCAAAAAAAACTACAAATAAAATTTAACTTTAACACCCTGTAACCGTTAATAATCAGTTTTGGAAAAAATGTTATAGAAAGAGGTAGCATTTATTTTCGGTCTAGAATTATCCCCTGAATTTTTTGCACATAATTTCCGGACACTTTATATACAGGGTGGTCCGAATTTTATGCAGGAAACTTCGAGGGTAGATAGATCTCTTTAAAATAATATGTGTTTGCCTTATAAACATTGGTCTGGAACAGCCCCGTTTTAGAAATACAGGGTGTTGTTGTTTAAAAAAAAATAGATTTTTTGTTTATATCTCCGGAATGTATTAACCGATCTAAATAAAATTTGGTACAGATAATGTATGATAGTAGGTCTTACATTCCCTAAAATATGAGCTTTAAAGGTTCAACCAGTGGTGTACAACTGGACAGAGGTCACCCCCTTTTTTACAAAAAACCTATGCTACTGCATTTTTTATAAGTTATTGTAACGTAAGTATATTCTAATGCACAAAATAAGTAAAAAAGGTAACTTAAATTTTTTCCCTAAGATTCGCCGTTCTCAAGTTATTCAAACCAATACTTGCCTTGTGGCTGACATTTCTAACCATGATATTACAAGAATATTTATGCTTATGCTTAAAAGTAAGTGCAATTTGTAAGCACATCAACAAAATTATTTACACCACCTGTGAGGTAGTGTTCCTGGCGTGTTTTAGTTTTCCCTGGAGGCCTAATACTCTACAAATAAGAACAATTTAAATCAAAATAATAATAAAAATATATTTACCAAGCAGCAGCAACTAAACAAGAAACAAAATTAACGTTACGTATTTACAACAATTGTATTACACTCGTCTTCTATTCGTTGCAGTAGTTGTGGTCTTGTATCTGTTGGAGTAGAATAAACTTTACTTTTCAGATAACCCCAAACATAGAAGTCCAGGGGGTTTAGATATGTCAATCTGGCTGGCCAAGACACTGAACCCTCTGCATAATTATGGTTGACATTGGCATTTAGTCTTCTACCTATCCATCGACCCAAATAAT